CAACTAAACGACTAAACAACAACAACAACAACCACTGTAGTCCAGTTCTGTAGTGGCCAATGACTTCACCACTTTGACAATCTGTCTCTTTTCCGGAGCCATCAGAGGAAAGTGATGTGCCTTCTCTGACAATCAACTTTTGGTATTGTTTTCTCAGTGGCTCTTTCTTGCATGCTGGCCAAAACCATCACTGTGGTTATAGCTTTCATGGCCAAAAACCTGGGTAAGTGGGTAGGAAAAAGACTGACCAACTCTGTTGTTCTTTCTTGCTCCTTTATTCAAGCAGGCATCTGTACGCTGTGGTTGTCAACCTCTCCCCCATTCTCAGAAAGAAATCATAGTGCAATGTAATGAAGGGTCAGTCACCATGTTTAAATGTGTCCTGAGTTACATGGGCCTCCTGGCTGCCACCAATTTCAGTGTGGCATTCCTTGTTCGCAAATTACCTGACAGTTTTAACGAAGCCAAGTTCATTACATTCAGCATGTTGTTGTTTTGTGGTGTTTGGCTTTCTTTTCTTCCAGCCTCTCTGAGCACCAAAAGGAAAGACATGGTGGCTGTGGAGATCTTCTCCACCTTGGCTTCCAGTGCTGGGTTATTGGGCTATATCTTTGTCCCTAAATGTTACATCATTATACTAAGGCCTGAACTGAACAACAGAGAGTAACTGATTAGAAGAAAAGTTAGTGAATCTCTCTCTATGTTTTCGGTCTGTTTTATGTGAACATTAATTGTTTTAGGAGAAAATATGTTTTTAATTCATTTATTACAAATATTTGTTTAAAATTATCGACAGATGTTACATTTCTCTATCAACTCCCCTCATCCCCTCTCATTACCTCACATCCAAACTAACTGACACCCATCTAGGTTGCCGTGGTGAATTCTGGGCATTTAAATGAGCTATTCTGTACAGAGCTTCAGCATTTTGTGTTATGGGTACCAGCCATAAAGAAGTCAAAGTTTTCTTCACTGAAACATACCTTCCTTCCCCATCCACATGAGTAAATGTCACAGTGGACATATTCCCAACATTAAGAAGAGCTCAAGGCAGAACTGCCTTGAAGCGGCATTAGGATGGCCACAGTCTAGAGAAAGTCTTAATGGACACGTAGAGAAGCCTGGGGAGACATATTCGGCCCTCTCAGGTTCCACATCTCTGATCTAGCCTAAGGAATTCAAAAGCAGAGGGCAAACTATTAAACTACCTTAGGCTTTAAAGGTCAGCACCAACACTTGGAATTGTTGGGTTCCCAAAATCATTATTGGATGTGGTGTGCATTTTTTTAACATGGCTACAGGTAAAGGCAAATGTAAGTTGGGCCCTAAGGGCAAAGGAAAGGCACCTGCACCCTTGAGGAAGCATGCACAGTCAAACCCTACCTCCTCTGAAGATGAAGAGCAAGACAGGAGGACTATATTGGTGCACCTTTATAGAAATCAGCCCCTGCTGCAATTGCAACTCCCAAGTTATCATCATCAATGCATGGCACGGTACAAACTGGAAGTCGTGTTGAAGGTCTTGCGAGGTCTCGGGCATGAACTTTGAGGCTCTGCAAGACCTCGTATATCACATCCTAGGCCCTTCCAGGCCTCAGAAACACCACTGCAGTGTGTTGCTGTGACGTGACATCATGACGTCACAACATTATGGTGTCACATTACGTCACGGGTACCATTGGTCACCCATAACCTGGGGCCCAAGTTGCCTCCCCCCCCGATGAAGGTATGAGTTTCACAGGAAGCACCAGCTATGGACATCACACAGGAGGTGAGCATGGCTGCTGATTTTCCTATGGCTCTAGCCTTTGGAGTAGCATTTTATATACTGTAGTTAATGGCTCCTTTGCTGTGTCTCTCTGTTGTTAGGATGTTTTTCAAAGTTAGTCCATGATCTGATGGTTGCTGTTTTTGCTACTGCATTGTTTATGAAAGCTTGTGGTTGGTGGTGGGTCAGCCAGGGAATTAGAGTGTTCCCCTAATTTGTCCTGTGTTTCTCATATTGATATGCGGTTGTCATTTTTGCCCTAGTAAATCATACACCATACATTTTCCTGATCTTCTTCTTCTTCTTCTTCTTCTTCTTCTTCTTCTTCTTCGCTTGGAGACATCCATTAAGAATAAAACACTGACATTTAAATCCCAAAAGGTTTGAGACAGAAATGCACAATATTTTGCTATGCTGATTTAATTCATCATAGAATTCTCCTCTGAAACTGTAAATTGATCAACTTCATTTGCAGTATGGTGACAAAATTCTACCAGCACAGACTTGCCTTCGCATTTGCTGTGAAAGAGATCAATGACAACCACACGATCTTGCTGAATATCACTCTGGGGTTCAACATCAATGATGTATTATGGCTATGATTATGATTAATCGTTACCATAAATAATAACACCACCAGCAGCTAGATATCCCTCCCATGCTCCACTTTATATTCTGCTTACGCAAAACATGACCTTGAACTCTGATAATGTCTCGTGAAACTCTGAATGGGGAACAGAGCCATGGGAATGTGTGAGAGAGTATAAAGTAGACATGATACACTGTTATGGTTTAGGTAAGGTGTTCTCTGCTCTTTCATTTCTGGTCCCACTCACCAATGGCATATAGCTTATTTAAGGTTAGCAAGAAGAGAATTCATTAGTCAGGCTGAAAATGACAGCCCACCCCTCCAATATACCAATACCTTCTGCCTGTGCTTTTTTTCTAAAAAAAATTAAAATGTTTAGGGTACTCTCATTTTGAGTCAAGAAAACCACAATTTTATAGTCCAAACCGGGGAAAATAAATACAGTAAATGGACAAAAGGCCACCATCGGGGGTAGCAATGGAACTGATGATTCAGCATGCTAGAAAAATAAAATAAAAAATAGTTTCTTCTCCCGTTGGGTTCACAAAATGTATAGGGGTATGCGTACCACTGCATCCCCCCAGAAAAAAAGCAGTGCCTTCAGCTGTTTCTTGAAAATGAATCAGGCCACCCATTTTAAAAATATAGCTTGATCTTATTGAGAAGTGCTGAGCCCTATTTCCTTGCAGAGAACTGGAGTTGAGAAGTGGTCTAAATCTCAAAATTTAGAACTTCTGCCACTTTTTTCTTTTATCTAAGCAGCAGGATTGGGAGTAAAAAAGCAAAAGTGTTACTCAAACTCTAAAATCTGAATAAGCAAATAATATTCCTATTCTGCAATTACTCAAATCACTGCAATTTCTTCACCAGGTCAAATCCCCAGATGGCTTCCTGAAGGGAAGAAAACAATCAACAAGCAAGCCTGAAAGTACTTAAAAATAAGCTCATATGTTATAGAGAGCTAGTGTAGAGGTGAGAGTCAGAAAGGGCTCTATCAGTTCAATTTAGGACAATATAATTTCTGTTACTTCTCAAGGAATGTATTTGCAACCTTTCAATTAAATGTATACCATAAGCTAGGCAGCCAGGATGGCGTTGCTATGGGTGTTGCTGAATCTAATAATTCCTGTTGCTAATACCTCTAATTCTATCCGCTGCCCTAGGAATAATCCTTTTCCTGTTCCACACGAGTGGTACCAGCCAGGTGAACTCATCATTGGGGGAGTTGTTTCTCAGAGCTATTACGTTTTCTATGAAGTTTTCTTTAAGGAACACCCATCAAAGAACCTGTTTGATGTTTCATAGTAAGACTTTTTCATTGCCCCTTCGAATTGCCTTTCCCTTTGTCTCATGCTTTACAGACATGAATCCTAAAGAGAGGGATAATTTTATCACTGGCATTTTCAAGCTGCAATTGGAGCTACATTTTGCCTGGAAAAAATGTTATTTCAATTAAAAAAAATTAAAGCCTACCAACTCTCAAAAAATGATTTGAATAAGAAGGTGAATTTACAATTGCTCTGCAGTATACTTATTGTGAGGAGTGGGGAAGAGAAGGGTGAAAATGTAAATAAATAGATAAGGTTATGTTACAGATGAATTCAAAACATAAAACCATACACCATCCTTCAATATCCCCAAAGCTTCCTTGAAGTTTGAAAGAGTATTAGATTTTACTACCACATATTGAAGGTCTTTTAAAGTTTCAGTGTGTGCTGAGTTGAAATGATTGCTTAGGTAAATTGTATTGCCGCTGACATTCATGAATATATTTGCCTTTCCATTAAATATTTCTTTCGTGGCTCCTGATCTGAAAAACCTCCATGGGAGGAGTTACATCATGGTGAAAGTTATCCTATATGCATGGATATGGAAACTGGTTGAATTGTGTTGAGGCAGACAGGGATTGCGACAGTTCAGGTTAGATAGCACAGGGAAACCTGAGATTGTCAGAATGGGGCATTAGCCCAAAGAGGCTGACATTGGGCTAGAAAACCTAAAGAATTAGGAGACTAATTTTGCCATCAGCTGTGTCTTCCAGTGTAAAGGTAAGTCCATTGCCACCTGAATCCCCTTTCCATCTGATGCACCACAGGATCAATGACTGGCCTTAGCTACAGTAGCCTGAACACCTCAAACCTGTGGTTCTAATGTGCAAGCAACCTTCCTGCCCAAACCACAGCAGTATACTGAGAAACAAAGCTATCTGAATTCAATGGGACTTTCATGTAAGTCTGTATAACATTGCAGCTTTCAGTTAAATGAAGTTGTTGCCTACTTAAGGAGAAACAGATGAGTTTTATTTTTTTCTTGATCAACTGTGACGGAAATGTCAAGCAATAGAATAACAGCAGGTGTGTGAAAGTGTCATGCAAAACAGTAATGCCCCGATCATTGGACAGTATGGAATTTATTAGCATAGATGTGCTAATTACAAATGCAATCTTCTCATTTCAGTTTGAAACAGAAGATGTCCAATATTGTAGTATGTTCATATCTGTAACTAATTTACTTTATTTGCAGTATGGTGCCAAAATTTTATCAGCACGTCCTAACATTGGCTTTTGCTGTCAAAGAAGTCAGTGAGAATCCCAACATCTTGCCCAATATCACACTTGGCTTCCACATCTATGACAGCTATTATGATGCAAGGATGACCTACCGCACTACTCTAGATCTCCTCTTCAAAATGAGGACATTTGTCCCCAACTACAAATGTGACACCCAGAAAACCCTCATATCCACCATTGGGGGACTTGGCCATGATACCACCTTCCATATGGCAGACACATTAGGTCTCTACAAGATTCCACAGGTAAGAGGTATGAAGGGGTGAATGAGAATTTTTTCTTCCTGCCTCTATGGGTTGCTTCCATGTTTGTTTTACACAGGGCGGACCTATTGGGAAGTATTCTAGCCAGTAGTTTTACTCAGAACAGACTTATCAAAATTAATGCATCTAGCTTAGTCATGATCCTTAATTTAAAATTTAGATCTATACAAGCCTGCATCTTCATCCCATATTCCTTGTAGATTGCTTTTTCTGTTTTATATCTAGGGATGTGAGATTGAACTGCTCACAGCTCAAATCAAAATGTGCAATCAGAAAAAGAAAGCTTAGAATTTGTGGAATAAAAAGCCAAATGGTACAGAGAGAATGTTTTCCATACGATTTGAGATTATATTCACATTTTCTTTCAGTTTGCATATGGTTCATATCCCTCAGCAGAGAGTGATACAAGACAGGTTCCTTCTTTTTATCACATGGTGCCCAGTGAAGCCCACCAGTTTCTTGGGATTATCCGCTTGCTTAAGCATTTTGGATGGACATGGATCGGACTCTTTGCTCTGAATGACAACAGTGGGGAACATTTCTTGCAGAACCTCGAACCATTGCTTTCTGAAAATGGAATTTGCTCAGCTTTCACACAAAAAATCCCAAAACAAGTCCACTATGATAATGTGGATGAAATGCATGATATAGCCTTGAATATCTATGCACAAATCAGAAATAATAAAGTCACTACATTTATTGTTTATGGAGAATCTCTGGCAATTATAGCACTGAGAATTGTTATATATCTGCCAGATCCTACAAATAAGAAAAGCACATCATTTAAAAAGGTATGGATCTTTACAGCACAGACTGATTTCATAACTATGGGTTTTAGTAAGGTTTGGAGTGTCCTGCTCTTCCAGGGTTCCCTTTCCTTCACAATCCACTCACAAAATCTTCCAGCATTCAAGGAATTTCTTCACAGCATAAAGCCTTCCTTGACACAAGGAGATGGTTTCATCAAAGTCTTCTGGGAGCAAGCATTTGACTGTGTATTTCCAAATCTTGATGTGCCAATGGAGTTCAGTGGCATGTGTTCTGGAGAGGAGAGGTTGCAGAGTCTTCCAAGGTCTGTGTTTGAAATGAGCATGACTGGTCACAGCTACAGCATCTATTATGGTGTCTATGCTGTGGCTCATGCCTTGCATAACATTTACTCACCCAGATCCAAGCAGAGAGCAATGGCAAAAAGTGAAAGATTAAAACTTCAGGACCTGGAGCCTTGGCAGGTATTGTTCTGAGAATGAAGAGAAAAAATATCATTATCTGCATGACTTTATATACCACTGGAACTTAAGACATTTCTACTTGGTTATCTAATAAAACTATTATTATTTAGAAGTCATCTGAAGGCAGCCCTGTATCAGGAAGTTTTTAATGTTTGATTATATTTTAATATGTGTTGGAAGTCTCCCAGAGTGGATGGGGCGACCTTGCCAGATGGTTAGGGTATATATAATAAATGATGATTATGATTATAAGATAGTATTCCAGAAAATTATCAAGAAATTTAATTCAGACTCAGAAACTGCTGCTAAGACTACAATAGCTAAGAATATCTGAATGGTTGGAGAAAATTTAATCCATAGTAACTATGATTACACCAACTTATAAACCAGCCTAACAGCTCTATGGAAAAAAACATAATTTTTTGTTATATTTTGGAAGAAGAAGTTCAGTTATAATGTCCAAGCTTATGCTGCTTTCAACCTCTAGTAATTGTATTTATTTAGGCTGCCCTTAATTTCTTTTATTTATTGTTAAAAGAAAAAAATAAGGACTTTATCAAATTAGGAATCAGAAGTTCTGTTTAAATGGTATTGCAAATTGTATTCACTGAAAAAAAAATAATGTTTGCATCTTAAATTGTGTACTTTTCTCCAAATAATATTTTTCTTAGAGTTCTTCACAATTCAATAATATAACAGCTACAAAAACTACAGTAAAACAGGAAGAATACAGAGTCCTTTCCTAGAGGCAATTCACAGCTCTCACCTGAGATCCCTCCTATTTCCTCCCTTCCTCTCACTTTGGGGGCTAATGCTTCCCTGTCTCCCACCTAGGGCCCTCCATCACCACCCCTATGAATAGTTAATCCCTAGACCTTAACAAGGGCCCCAAATATAGGACCTCACAAGAAAAAAAGAAAAGAGGGAAAGGAGAAAATAAAGGGAATATTAGAGATGAATAAAAAGGGCTTCCAATGCATAATAAAGTCTATCTGTTGTGTCAAAATCACAGATATTTTGCACATGTTCTTTGTTAACTGAAGCTATGTTACTATATCTAAATAAGCTTTATGAAGAAATGTTTCTGTAAACCATGGCATTTTATTCAAAATCTCATTTATGCTATTTCCCATTCAACTCCATTTTCTCTTTCTATTAGCTACACCCTGTTCTTCAGGACATTTCATTTAACAACTCAGCTGGAGAAACCGTGTCCTTTACTGATCAAAGAGAAGTGGGAGGGGGATTTGACATCATGAACATAGTCACGTTCCCGAACAGGTCCTTCCTTCAATTGAAGATTGGATGGGTTGATTCTGATGCAGCTGATGGAAAAGAATTCAGCATTGATGAGGACATGATTATATGGCACAATGATTTTAACCAGGTCTGGAATCTAGGCAGGGGTGACTACTTGAAAAATATATTGGGGGGGGGGATAAGCCCTGCACCGATTAATCAGTTGCAAGACGTGGCTCATGCACACATTTGGAATGACAATGCCCATAACCTCTGGGAGAGGCTTGACCCCTCAATTATTTTACTGAGGGTGTATTGAATGGACCTTGGCCCCTAGAAGTTGGCTCCTATGACTGTAGAGTTTACTTGTAGGCTCCACATTCTCCTACTGATGAGCATACTGATATACTCCTACACTGAATTCTTGTTTAAGCTACTTGTACAATGACCTCTTAGGCCGGTGGGGCAGAGTATGGATGATGTTTCAGGTTAACTTGTTTCATTCACTTTGAGTTTGCGGCCTCAAAGGCAGTGTGAATTTTAAAAAGGCTTACCAAATACTGACAGGTTTAGGAGAGTCATAGAAGTTTTGAATATCTGCCACATATGGTATTTCCACTATAAAGTTTCTGATTTCTGAAAGTTAGTTAACAAAATGACCCTAGATTTATCTGTATTTTGTATTTTGCCTCTTTCATTCCAGTGTCTTAACAAAAATGGGCTGATGGTTGGACCATGTATGAAGCAGCAGTCCTATGCCAATGTTTCTGGGATGAGAGATCCCCTTTTTATTTGAACTGCAGAAGCTGAAATATTCTTTCAAATATTTATCCCTTCTGAAATGATTTCCTGTTTATTAATAGGTAATGCCCATTTCTGTGTGCAATGACTACTGTCGTGCGGGCTATCAGAAGAAAAGTAAGGAAGGACAGAAATTTTGCTGCTATGATTGTACTCCATGTCCAGAAGGGAAGATTTCAAACCAGAATGGTATGTGACAGTTTTCATTGTACAAGATTAGCAAGTTTCTATTGAAAACCACACTATCCTGCTTCGAGTGGTGTGAATATTTTATTGCTACTTTCCAGTAACACGTCATCAATACGTTCAAAAATAAAAGAGCCTGGTGAAATCCCAAATTGGTGGATCTGAAATTAATCCCCCCATCCCCAAAAATGATTTCACTGTGCACATAATTTAAGTGAAGCCAGTGCTTATTTTCCCAGTGTGCCTTCCCCTAAACATTTTGTGTATCTAAGTTTGGCCTCAGTGAGGAGCAATATTTCAATATGAGTAGGAAAAGAAGAGTACCCCTAAACATTTCTTTTTTTAGAAAAAAAAAGCACCGAGTGAACCTGTCAAGTAGTAAAATGGTACAGCAGTTGAAGATTTGCAAATAATGTGTGTAGTCAGAATGAAACATTCTAGACATCATCCATGGTGTTATTAGGCCAGAACTTTATTCATTATGCTTCAGGGAAGAGGAAATGTCATGGCACTAATTCCAACCAGCATTTGCTGTTTGAATGGCATTCCACTTGATGTTGTAGCTGCTTTTGACATCCTTCAGAGTTGAACAAGGTTGGAGCTTTGTATTTGGCAAGACAGGCATTCAGGTTCCCAGGAAGGAACTGTATATGTATGGTGGGAGAGAGAGATAGGCAACACTGGGCCCCATCTGTCCAAGTGGCATGCCTTGCTCTTATCAATTTATAGACCCTTTACAGTCCACCCTATTGCCTAACAATGGCTACTGGCACTTACTGAAGGAAAGGCAAAAACATCATCACCTAGAGACAATTAAATATGTGAGCAAAATATGTTTTGGTTTATTTGGTCTCAGTTAACTGTCCTCCCAAAAAAACCAAGGTTCCACTCACTATGCCATCTTGGTGAAACAGCATGGCCACTTACCAAGATGTAAAAAACAAAACAAAACCTGTTTCAGATTCAGCAGGAATGTAGTGAGTAATTCAAATATACAACCTGCTCTCTGACAATAAAGAAGGTTCCAAATAGATCAACAGAATCAATAACGGCTACATAGTAGACAAAAATCACTGATGAATTGCAAATGGAGTTTGACTTTCTTCTGTTTGTCAGATATGTCTGACTGCTTCAGATGCCCAGAAGATCATTATGCAAACAAGAAGAAAAATGGATGCATCCCTAAAACTATCAACTTTCTTTCTTATGAAGAACCTTTAGGGATCATTTTGGCCTCACTTTCTCTTTCTTTTTCCCTGATCACAACTTTGGTGCTTGCAGCGTTTATTCAACACAAAGACACTCCAATTGTCAAAGCCAACAACAGGGATCTCACCTACGCTCTCCTCATCGCCCTCCAATTCTGCTTCCTTTCATCGCTTCTATTCATTGGACACCCTGGCAAAATGACCTGCCTTTTTCGCCAAACAACTTTCGGCATTGTCTTCTCTGTGGCTGTTTCTTGTGTGTTGGCCAAAACTATCACGGTAGTTGCAGCTTTCATGGCCACCAAGCCTGGGTCCAGTATGAGGAAGTGGGTAGGGAAAAAACTGTCTAACTCTGTTGTCCTTTCCTGCTCCCTCGTTCAAGCGATTATTTGTACTGGGTGGTTGATGACCTCTTCCCCATTTCCAGATCAAGACATGCACTCGGTAATGAAAGAAATCATTGTGCAATGTAACGAAGGTTCAGTGACCATGTTTTACTGTGTCCTCGGCTACATGGGCCTCCTGGCCATTGCCAGCTTCATTGTGGCATTTGCAGCTCGCAAATTACCTGACAGTTTTAATGAAGCCAAGTTTATTACCTTTAGCATGTTGCTGTTTTGCAGTGTTTGGCTGTCTTTTGTCCCAACTTACCTAAGCACCAAAGGGAAATCCATGGTGGTGGTGGAGATCTTCTCTATCTTGTCCTCCAGTGCTGGATTGTTGGTCTGCATCTTTGCCCCTAAATGCTACATCATTATTCTGAAGCCAGAGCTGAACAACAGGGAGCAAATGATAAGGAGAAGGATGTAAATTCAGCCTTACTTCTTCTTTCTATTCTATTCTATTGTTATATATAAGGGAGTTTTCCGTAAAAGTGGTTACTTTGAGGTGATACTCTTTTGTAGGATCAATTTGGAATATTTAGGGTTTTCAAATTCAAGCAGATTAAAATCCGCTGTCACCTTAGCTCAGGAGTGAGGAACAACTTGGTGGTGGGCCCTGTTTTGCCCAGCTTAGGTGTCAATTCTCAGGCCATTCCTGGCAAAGCACGCCCACCTTATTCTCAGCTGACATCATGTGGGACTTCATAGGAACTATCAAAAGCAGAAGGTGAGTTCCCAGATTGTCTCTTCCCAGAAGATCCCCCTGGAGGGATGCTTCCAGCCTTCCCAGCCTCTCAATTTAAAAGTCTTATAAGAAGATTCTGCAGTAGAAGGACTTTGAGGAACATCATGAGAGAGATCTTTCTAAGAGCCTGTGAAACTCCTATGTTATCTTGTTAAGTTGTCTGTTGTTCATGAAACTTTATTGTATTTATTGGACTCAGATGCAGCTTTTTATTATGTTTTTATATTTGCCACCATATTGTTCTATTATCCTGTTCTGATACTATATTTGTGATGTTTGATTTTAACATGTGTCCATTTATCCTTTGTTTATGGGAATTTGCCCACCATTATAAAATCATAGCACTGTATGGTTGGAGGAGTCCCTCAGGGTCATCTGTTCCAGCCCTTTAAATGATTGAACCTCAATTAAGCATAATAATAATAATAATAATAATAATAATAATAATAATAATTTATTATTTATACCCCGCCCATCTGGCTGAGTTTCCCCAGCCACTCTGGGCAGCTCCCAATCAAGTGTTAAAAACAGTACAGCGTTACATGTTAAAAACTTCCCTGAACAGGGCTGCCTTAAGATGTCTTCTGAATGTCAGGTAGTTGTTTATCTCTTTGACAGCTGATGGGAGGGTGTTCCACAGGGTGGGCGCCACTACCGAGAAGACCCTCTCTCTGGTTCCCTGTAGCCTCACTTCTCGCAATGAGGGAACCGCCAGAAGGCCCTCGGCGCTGGATTTCAGTGTCCAGGATGAATGATGGGGGTGGAGACACTCCTTCAGGTATACAGGACCGAGGCTGTTTAGGGCTTTAAAGGTCAGCACCAACACTTTGAATTGTGCTCAGAAATGTACTGGGAGCCAGTGCATCCATGACAGATGACTATTCGACCTCTGCTTAAAAACCTTCAATGAGGGAGAGTACACCACCTTCTGGGGAAGTCTATTCCACTGTTGAACAGCACTTATAATCAGAAAGTTAATCCTGATGTTTAGTTGGAATCTTTTTTCTAATAACTTGCATCCATTGGATGCGGCTCTACCCTCTCAATGATGTTAATGACAATGATGTTGATGATGATGATGGGTAATGGGAGCCCATGATGCTCCAGGAGGGGGAGATAGTTTCCACTGAAAGTGATAATAAAATGGGTGCAGGGGAGGGGAGCTTGGTTTTTGCTAGAGAAACTGCTTCCACCTCACTTATCAAGCCACTTTGTAACTGTCCATTTAAAAGACTCATTGCCTTCTGAATCCCAGTGGCAGACAGGTTGGTTGTCCCATCCACCTATCAAACATTGTCCATCGAGGACTGGGAGAATCTGGCCAAATGTGGGGAAATGTTACTGACTCCTGCTTTAGGACAAGAAACTTAATAATAAAAACGAACTTTTGTTGATAGAAAAGCAGTAGGGAAAGGCATTGAAAAGTGTGGAATGAATGGTAGCTTGATTTACTTTCAATTCACTTATAAAAATGTATTTTTTATATGGGACTGATTTACCTTATATTACTTTGTTCTGTAATACTGAATTATATGTCTTTCAGTAAAGAAACATGTTAACTGAAATTAAATATCTGAGTGTCTTCCTTGAACCTTAAATGCTTTGCTTGCTAATATCGAGCGGGAATAAATACGCTCCTCAATGTGGTGGCCCTTTCTGGGATAATCTAAGATGGTACTGTAATTGCTGAACTAAAACTTTGATACATCAAAGGCATCCTCAATATTTACATTATGTAGGGCAATATATGCCCCACACATTTAAGAACAGGACAGAACAAATCATATGTTTTACTGGTCCCAGAATAATAATAATAATAATAATAATAATAATAATTAATAATAATTTTATTTATATCCTATCCTCCCCGGCTGAAGCCGGACTCAGGGCAGCTAACATAAAATATATAACACGGGTATAAAATCAAACAGTAATTAAATTACCTCCTAAAAACAGGTCAGGATCGAATTAAAATCTAATTAGATGGCTTTCCACAGGATTAGAGTTGGGATCAGTAAATACTCATCAGGTCCAACTGTTTTCAACAGGTATCTAAAAGAACAAACTTATTGTGAATGCCTAAAGCTATTAGGAGTTCCAAAAGTGTTGCCACATCTTAAAGGGAAATGGCACTTTAAGTTGCCTTTATCTCAAAATTTAGCACTCCTGTTTACCCAATGAAATAACTCTGAATTTCCCGTTGTCATTAGCTTACCAGGAAAAAGTCTTTCGGTCACTGTAGTTCATTGATTTCACTCATTAGCAAATTCTCCTCTGAAACTGCAAATTGATGAACTTCATTTGCAGTATGGTGACAAAATTCTACCAGCACAGACTTGCCTTGGCAATGAGAACCACATGATCTTACCCAATATCACTTGAGGGTTAGATATCTATGATGTATTATTATTATCATCAATAATAACCCCAACAACAACAACAACAATTATCTATGCCTCCCCTGCCCTTCTTCATATTTTCAGTGCTTTTGCTTACCCAGAATATGACCTTGAATTCTGATAATGTCTCGTGATGCTCTGAATAGGGAACAGAGCAACGTGAATGTGTCGGACAGTATAAAGTAGACATGAAACCCTGTTAAAATTTAGACTAGGTGTTCTGTGCTCTTCCCTTTCTGTTCCCACTCACCTAAGGCTTAAAGTTTATGTAAGGTTACCCAGAAGAGAATTCATTAGTCAGGCTGAAAATGAAAGCCCCCCCCCCCCCAATATACCAGTAGCTCCTGTTGGTTCTTGCAAATGAATGGTGCTATTCATTTTTAAAGTATAGTTTGATCTTATTGAGAAGTGCTGAGTCCCATTTTCTTGAAGACAACTGGAGTTGAGAAGTGGTCTTAATCTCAAAATTTAGAACTGCTACTTTATATCCTGATGACAATGTCTTCAGTCAAGAGTTTTCTGTTGTTCTTAGCACACCAAGGAAAAACCCTTCTGCCACTTTTTTCTTTCATCTAAGCAGCAGGATTGGGAGTAAAAAAAGTTAAAGTCTTACTCAGACTCTAAACTCTGAATAAGTAATTAATATTCCTTTTCTGCAATTACTCAAATCACTGCAATTTCTTCTCCAGGTCAAATCCCCAGTTGGCTTCCTGAAGGGAAGAAAAAAATCAATAAGCAAGCCTAAAAGTGTTTTAAAAATAAGCTCATATGTTATGGAGAGCTAGTGTAGGGGGAGAGACAGACAGGGCTCTATGAGTTCAATTTAGGAAAATATAATTTCTGTTACTACTCAAGGAATGTATTTGCAACCCGTTGATGAAATGTTTATCATAAGCTAGGCTGTCAGGATGTTGCTGCTATTGGTGCTGCTGTTTCTAATAACTCCTGTTTCTATTACCTCTAATTCTATCCACTGCCCCAGGAATAATCCTTTTCCTGTTCTACATGAGTGGTACCAGCCAGGTGAATTCATCATTGGTGGAGTTCTTTCTCAGAGCTTTTACAATTTCTATGAAATTTTGTATAAGGATCACCCATCAAAGAACCTGTTTGATGTTTCATAGTAAGACTTTTTCATTCCCCCTCTGGATTGCCCTTTCCTTTCTTTCATGCCTTTCAGACAGGAATCCTAAAGGGAGGGCCTGTTTTATCACTGACATTTTCAAGCTGCAGTGGGAGCCATAATTTGCCTGAATATTTGAATAAAAAAACCTTCTTTCTGTATTTTTTTAAAAAAGAATCTAGCCATTGTCACAGTTTATTTGAATGAAATGGTGTATTTACAATTGCTCTGCAGTTTACTTATTGTGAGGAGTGGGGAAGAGAAGAGTGAAAATGTAAATAAATAGTTAAGGTTACATTACAGCTAAAGGTAGGTAGCCGTGTTGACCTGACAAAGTTTGTTCTTGGTATAAGCTTTCATGTGCATGCTAGTATCTGAAGAAGTGTGCATGCACACAAAAGCTTATACCAAAAACAAACTGAGTCAGTCTCCAAGGTGCTACTGGACATTTTTTTTATTTTCTAGATATATATTGATTACAGATATATTCAAAGAATAAAATTATACACCATTCTTCGATCTCCCAAAGCTTCCTTGCCTTTTGAAGGAGTATAATATTTTACTACCTCATATTCAAGATCCTTTACAGACTTGAATTTCTTAGGTTAGTTGTCTTGCCGCTGACATTCATGAGGGTATTTGTCTTTCCATTATATATTTATTTTGTGGCTCCTGATCGGGGGGGGGGGACTCCATGGGAGGAGTTAGATCATGGTGAAACTCCCTGGGCCAAAATGTAAGTTCAGAAAGTTATGGAGGGATATGGAAATTGGTTGAAATTTGTTGAGGCAGGCAGGGACTGCTACAGTTCACATTAGATAGCACAGAGAAACCTGATATTGTCAGAATGGGGCATTATCCCAGAAAGAGAGGCTTACATTGGGCTAGAAAACCTAAAGAAATAGGAGACAAATTTTGCCATCAGCTATGTATTCTGGTGTGAAGGTAAAACCAGTGACATCTGACTCCCCTTTGTGCAACATCAATGACTGTCCTTAGCTACAGTAGCCTGCACACCTGAAACCTGTAGTTCTAATTTGCAAGAAACTTTCCTGACACTACCGCAAATGTATACAGTGGTACCTTGGGTTACATATGCTTCGGGTTACATACGCTTCAGGTTACAGACTCCACTAACCCAGAAACAGTACCTCAGGTGAAGAACTTTGCTTCAGGATAAGAACAGAAATCATGCTCCGGCGGCGCGGTGACAGCAGGAGGCCCCATCAGCTAAAGTGGTGCTTCAGGTTAAGAACAGTTTCAGGTTAAGTACGGGCCTCAGGAACGAATTAAGTACTTAACCCGAGCTACCACTGTACTGAGAAAAAAGCTATCTGAATTCATAGGGCCATTCGCATAAGGGTGTATAAAACTGCAGCTTTCAGTTAAATGAAGTGGTTGGCTATTTAAGGAGAAACAGATTTGCTTTTTTGTTTTTCTTGATCAACCGAGATAGAAATGTCATGCAATAGCAGAGCAGCAGGTATGTGAAAGTATCATGCAAAGCAGCAATGTCCTGATCATTGGACAGTATGGATTTTATTAGCTTAGATGTATAAATTACAAATGCAACATTTTCATTTCATTTTGAAACAGAAGATGTCCAATATTGTAGTATATTCATATTTGTACCTAATTTACTTTATTTGCAGTATGGTGCCAAAATTTTATCAGCACGTCCTTGCATTGGCATTTGCTGTGAAAGAAGTCAATGAGAATCCCAACATCTTGCCCAATATCACACTTGGCTTCCACATCTATGACAGCTATTATGATGCAAGGATGACCTATCGTACGACTCTAGATCTCCTCTTCAAAATGAGGACATTTGTCCCCAACTACAAATGTGACACCCAGAAAACCCTCATATCGACCATTGGGGGACTTGGCCATGATACCACCTTCCATATGGCAGACACATTAGGTATCTACAAGATTCCACAGGTAAGAGGTATGAAGGCGTCAATGAGAATCTTTTCTTCCTGCCTCTAAGGGTTGCTTTCATGTTTGGTTCTAGACGGAGTGGACCTATTGGGAAGTATTCTAGTCAATAGTTTTACTGAGAACAGACTCATCAAAATTAATGCATCCATCTTAGTTATGATCAATAATTTAAAATTTAGTTATGTACAAGCCTTATATATCATTATCCCGTATTCCTTGTATATTGCTTTTTCTGCTTTATTTCTAGGGATATGTGATTGATCTGGTCACAGCTCAAATCAAAATGTGCAATTAGAAAAAAAAGGTTAGAATCTGTTGAATAAAAAGCCAAAAGATATAGGATGAATGTTTTCCATATAACCTGAAAATATATGTACATTTTCTTTCAGTTTGCGTATGGTTCATTTCCCCCAGTGAAGAGTGATGCAAGTCAGGTTCCTTCCTTTTACCGCATGGTGCCCAGTGAAGCCCACCAGTTTCTTGGGATTATCCGCTTGCTTAAGCATTTTGGATGGAAGTGGATCGGACTCTTTGCTCTGAATGATAACAGTGGAGAACATTTCTTGCAGACCCTGGAGCCATTGCTTTCTCAAAATGGAATTTGCTCAGCATTCACACAAAAAATTCCAAAAGAAGTCCACTTTGATAATGTGGATGATATGCATCATATAGCTTTCCATATGTATATACAAATCAGAGATAATAAGGTCACTACATTTATTGTTTACGGAGAATCTTTGGCAATTATATCACTGAGAATTATTATATTTCTCCCAGATCCTACAAATAAGAAAAACACATCGTTTAAAAAGGTATGGATCTTTACAGCAAGGACTGATTTCATATCTATGGGTCTTCTTAAGGTCTGGAATGTTCTGCTCTTCCAGGGTTCCCTTTCCTTCACAATCCACTCACAAAATCTTCTAGCATTCAAGGAATTTCTTCAGAGCATAAAGCCTTCCCAGAGCCAGGGAGATGGTTTCATCAAAGGCTTCTGGGAGCAAGCATTTGACTGTATTCTTCCCAATTTCAATGCACCAATGGAGGTCTATGGTATGTGTACTGGAGAGGAGAGATTGCAGAATCTTCCAAGGTCTCTGTTTGAAATGAGCATGACTGGTCACAGCTACAGCATCTATAATGGTGTCTATGCTGTGGCTCATGCCTTGCATAACATTTACTCCCCTAGATCCAAGCAGAGAGGAATGTGGAAAAGTGAAAGATTAAAACATCAGAATCTGGAGCCTTGGCAGGTATTGTTCTGAGAATGAAGAGAAAAAATATTATCATTATCTGCATGACTTTATCTACCACTGGAACTTAAGATATTTCTGCTTGGTTATCTAATAAAACTATTATTATTTAGAAGTCATCTGAAGGCAGCCCTGTATCGGGAAGTTATTAATGTTTGATTATATTTTAATATGTGTTAGAAGCCTCCCAGAGTGGATGGGGCGACCTTGCCAGATGGCTGGAGTATATATAATAAATGATGATTATGATTACATAGTATTCCTGAATATTATCAAGAAATTTAATTCATCCGCATAAACTGCTGCTAAGACTACAATAGCTAAGAATATCTGAATGGTTGGAGACAATTTGGTCCATAGTAACTATGATTACACCAACTTATAAAAGAATACATATAAACCAGCCTAACAGCTCTATGGGAAAAAACATAATTTTTGTTATATTTTGGAAAAATAAGTTCAGTTATAATGTCCAAGCTTATGCTGCTTTCAACCTCTAGTAATTGTATTTATTTAGGATCTTTAATTTCTTTTATTTATTGTTAAAAGAAAAAAAAATAAGGACTTTATCAAATTAGGAATCAGAAGTTCTGTTTAAATGGTATTGAAAAATTGTATTCACTGAAAAAAATTAGTGTTTGAATCTTAAATTGTGTACTTCTTTTTGCCAAATAATATTTTTCTTAGAGTTCTTCACCATACGATAACATAACAGCTACAAAAACTACAGTCAAAACAGGAAGAATGCCGAGTCCTTTCCTAGAGGCGATTCACAGCTCTCACCTGAGATCCCTCCTATTTCCTCCCTTCCTCTCACTTTGGGGGCTAATGCTTCCCTGTCTCCCACCTGGGCCCTCCATCACCACCCCTATGAATAGTTAATCCCTGGGCCTTAACAAGTGCCCCAAATATAGGACCTCACAAGAAAAAAAGAAAAGAGGGAAAGGAGAAAATAAAGGGAATATTAGAGATGAATAAAAAGGGCTTCCAATGCATAATAAAGTCTATCTGTTGTGTCAAAATCACAGATATTTTGCACATGTTCTTTGTTAACTGAACCTATGTTATTATACCTAAATAAGATTCATGAAGACATTTTTCTGTAAACCATGGCATTTTATTCAAAATCTCATTTATGCCGATTCCCATTCAACTTCATTTTCTCTTTCTAATAGCTGCATCCTATTCTTCATGACATTTCATTTAACAACTCAGCTGGAGAAACCGTGTCCTTTACTGATCAAAGAGAAGTGGAAGGGGGATTTGACATCATGAACATAGTCACGTTCCCAAACAGGTCTTTCCTTCGATTGAAGATTGGATGGGTTGATTCTGATGCAGATGGTGGAAAAGAATTCAGCATTAATGAGGACATCATTATATGGCACAATGATTTTAATCAGGTCTGGAATCTAGGCAGGGGTGCCAACTTGAATAAAATATTGGGGTGGGGGAGGTAGGCCCTGCGCCGATTAATCAGTTGCAAGACGTGGCTCATGTACACATTTGGAATGACAATGTCCATCACCTTTGGGAGAGGGTAGGCGCCTCAATTATTTTATTGAGGGTGTATTGACGGGACCTTGGCTCCTAGAGGTTTGCTCCTGTGACTCTAGAGTTTACTTGTAGGGCCCACATTCTCCTGCTGATGAGCATACTGATATACTCCTCCACTGAATTCTTCTTTACGCTACTTGTACAATGACCTCTTAAGCCGGTGGGGCAGAGTATGGATGACGTTTCAGGTTAACTTGTTTCATTCACTTTGAGTTTGCGGCCTCAAAGGCAGTGTGAATTTAAAAAAGGCTTAACAAATACTGACAGGTTTAGGAGAGTGATAGAAGTTTTTAATATCTGCCACATATGGTATTTCCACTATAAAGTTTCTGATTTCTGAAAGTTAGTTAACAAAATGACCCTAGATTTATCTGTATTTTGTCTTTTGCCTCTTTCATTCCAGTTTCTTAACAAAAATGGGCTGATGGTTGGATGATATATTAAGCAGCAGTCCGGTGCCAATGTTTCTGGGATGAGAGATCCCCTTTCTTCTTTCTTCTTTCTTATTCTTTCTTATTTGAACTTCAGAAGCTGAAACATTCTTTCAAATATTAGTCCCTTCTGAAATGATTTCCTGTTTATTAATAGGTAATGCCCATTTCTGTGTGCAATGACTACTGTCGTGCGGGCTATCAGAAGAAAAGTAAGGAAGGACAGAAATTTTGCTGCTATGATTGTACTCCATGTCCAGAAGGGAAGATTTCAAACCAGAATGGTATGTGACAGTTTTCATTGTACAAGATTAGCAAATCTCTGTTGAAAACCACACTATCCTGCTTGGAGTGGTGTGAATATTTTATTGCTACTTTCCAGTAACACGTCATCAACAAACACGTTCAAAAACAAAAGAGCCTGGTGAAATTCCATGCTGGTGGATCTGAAAGTAATCCCCCCATACCCAAAAATGATTTCATTGTACACATAATTTAAGTGAAGCCAGTGCTTATTTTCCCAGTGTGCCTTCCCCTAAACATTTTGTGTATCTAAGTTTGGCCTCAGTGAGGAGCAATATTTCAATATGAGTAGGAAAAGAAGAGTACCCCAAACATTTTTTTAGAAAAAAAAGCACTGAGTGAACCTATCAAGTAGTAAAATGGTACAGAAGTTGTAGATTTGCAAATGATGTGTGTAGTCAGAATGAAGCATGCTAGATATCATCCATGGTGTAATTAGGCCAGAACTTTATTCATTATGCTTCAGGGAAGAGGAAATGTCATGGCACTAATTCCAACCAGCATTTGCTGTTTGAATGGCATTCCACTTGATGTTATAGGTGCATTCGACATCCTTCAGGGTTGGACAAGGTTGGAGCTTTGTATTTGGCAAGACAGGCATTCAGGTTCCCAGGAGGGAACTGTATATGTATGGCGGGGGAGAGAGATAGGCAACACTGGGCCTCATCTGTCCAAGTGGCATGCCTTGATCTTTTCACTCTTTACAATCCACTCTATTGATGTGACTTTCTGTCCATCATTTTGACAAATGCTTTAGAATGCCTAGCAATGGCTACTGGCACTTACTGAAGGAAAGAGCAAAATACATTCTAAACTGGAGACAAATGAATATGGGAGCAAAATACCTTTTCAGGGGTGGGGGTCTCTGTTAACTGCCCACCCAAAAAACCAAGGTTCCACTCACTATGTCATCTTGGTGCCACAGCATGGCCACTTAAAAAAATGTAAAAAACCCACAAAACCTCTGTCAGATTCAGCTGTAATAAGTAATTCAAATATACAACCAGCTCTCTGACAATAAAGAAGGTTTGAAATAGATCAACAGGATCAATAATGGCTACATAGTCAGCATAAAACACAGATGAATTGCAAATGGAGTTTGGCTTTCTTCTGTTTGTCAGATACGGCTGACTGCTTCAGATGCCCAGAAGATCAGTATGCAAACAAGAAGAAAAATGGATGTATCCCTAAAACTATCAACTTTCTTTCTTATGAAGAACCTTTAGGGATCAGCTTGGCCTCACTTGCTCTTTCTTTTTCCCTGATAACAACTTTGGTGCTTGCAGCGTTTATTCAGCACAAACACACTCCCATTGTCAAAGCCAACAACAGGGATCTCACCTACACTCTCCTCATCGCCCTCCAATTCTGCTTCCTTTCTTCTCTTCTATTCATTGGACTCCCTGGCAAAATGACCTGCCTTCTTCGCCAAACAACCTTCGGCATTGTCTTCTCTGTGGCTGTTTCCTGTGTGTTGGCCAAAACCATCACTGTAGTTGCAGCTTTCATGGCCACCAAGCCTGGGTCCAGTATGAGGAAGTGGGTAGGGAAAAAGCTGTCCAACTCCGTTGTCCTTTCCTGCTCCCTCGTTCAAGCGATTATTTGTACTGGGTGGTTAATGAACTCTCCACCATTTCCAGATCAAGACATGTTCTCGGTAATGGAAGAAACCATTGTGCAATGTAATGAAGGCTCGGTGACCATGTTTTACTGTGTCTTGGGCTACATGGGCCTCCTGGCCATTGCCAGCTTCATTGTGGCATTTGCAGCTCGCAAATTGCCAGACACTTTTAATGAAGCCAAGTTTATTACCTTCAGCATGTTGCTGTTCTGCAGTGTTTGGTTGTCTTTTGTTCCAACTTACCTGAGCACTAAAGGGAAATCCATGGTGGTGGTGGAGATCTTCTCCATCTTGTCCTCCAGTGCTGGATTGTTGGTCTGCATCTTTGCCCCTAAATGCTACATCATTATTCTGAAGCCAGAGCTGAACAACAGGGAGCAACTAATAAAGAGAAAGATGTAAATTGTACCTTCCTTCTTCTTTCTATTCTATTGTATTGTTATATATAAGGGAGTTTTCTGTAAAAGTGGTTACCTTGAATACATCCTGTGAGGTGATACTCTTTCGTAGGATCATTTTGGGATATTTAGGGTTTTGAAATTAAAGCAAATTAAAATGCTCTGTCACCTTAGCTCAGGAGTGAGGAACGACTTGGTGGTCGGCCCTGTTTTGCGCAGCTGAGTAGTCAATTCTCAGGCCATTCCTGGCAAACCACACCCACCTTATTCTCAGCTGATATCATATGGGACATCATAGGAACTATCAGGAGCTGAAGGTGAGTTTCCAGATTGTCTCTTCCCAGAAGATCCCCCTGGAGGGATGCTTCCAGCCTTCCCAGCCCCTCAATTTGAAAGTCTTATAAGAAGATTCTGCAGGAGAAGGACTTTGAGGAACATCATGAGACAGGTCTTTCTAGGAGCATGTGAAACTCCTATGTTACTTTGTAAAGTTGTCTGTTGCTCATGAATCCTTGTTGTATTTATTGGACTCAGGTGCAGCTTTTTGGTATGTTTTTATATTTGCCATCATATTGTTCTATTATCCTGTTCTGATATTATTTTTGTGATGTTTGATTTTAAAATGTTTCCATTTATCCTTTGTTTATGGCAATTTGCCCACCATTATAAAATCATAGCATTGTATGGTTGGAGGAGTCCCTCAGGGTCATCTGTTCCAACCCTTTAAATGATTGAACCTCAATTAAAGCATCCATGACAGATGACAGACAGGTTAGTTGTCCCATCCACCTCTCAAAGACTCATTGCCTTCTGGATCCCAGTGACAGACAGGTTGGTTGTCCCTTCCACCTCTCAAACTTTGTCCATCAAGGACTGGGAGAATGATCAATCTGGCCAATTGTGGGGAAATGGAGAGTACACCACCTTCTGGGGAAGTCTATTCCACTGTTGAACAGCACTTATAATCAGAAAGTTGATCCTGATGTTTAGTTGGAATCTTTTTTCTAATAACTTGCATCCATTGGTTGCGGCTCTACCCTCTCAATGATGTTAATGATAATGATGTTGATGATGATGATGGGTAATGGGAGCCCATGGTGCTCCAGGAGGGGGAGATAGTTTCCATTGAAAGTGATAATAAAATGGGTGCAGGGGAGGGGAGCTTGGTTTTTGCTAGAGAAACTGCTTCCGCCTCACTTATCAAGCCACTTTGTAACTGTCCATTTAAAAGACTCATTGCCTTCTGAATCCCAGTGGCAGACAGGTTGGTTGTCCCATCCACCTATCAAACATTGTCCATCGAGGACTGGGAGAATCTGGCCAAATGTGGGGAAATGTTACTGACTCCTGCTTTAGAACAAGAAACTTAATAATAAAAACGAACTTTTGTGGATAGAAAAGCAGTAGGAAAAGGCACTGAAAAGTGTGGAATGAATGGTAGCTTGATTTACTTTCAATTCACTTATAAAAATGTATTTCTTATATGGGACTGATTTACCTTATATTACTTTGTTCTGTAATACTGAATTATGTCTTTCAGTAAAGAAACATGTTAACTGAAATTAAGTATCTGAGTGTCTTCCTTGAACCTTAAATGCTTTGCTTGCTAATATTGAGCGGGAATAAATACTCTCCTCAATGTGGTGGCCCTTTCTGGGATAATCTAAGATGGTACTGTAATTGCTGAACTAAAACTTTGATACATCAAAGGCATCCTCAATATTTACATTATGTAGGGCAATATATGCCCCACAGATTTAAGAACAGGACAGAACAAATCATATGTTTGGATGGTCCCACAAAAAGAATAATAATACTAATAGTAATAAAAAAACAACTTTTATTTATATCCTACCCTCCCTGGCTGAAGCCGGGCTCAGGGCAGCTAACATAAAATATATAGCATGGGTATAAAATCA